GGAAGCTTATTTAATTTAACTGGTTTGATGTATGCTATGTGAACGTTCGTCATTTTACTGTTTGATGCTGCTATGATTGGCTATGTGAACGTTCGCTATTTGATGGTATGAGTAAAATGCATGATATTTGATTAACTGAACTGCATGAACGTTCGTTTTCTTGGTGAAATGAGAAATATGAATTTACATGATATGGATCGTATGGAATGTGAAAGTTAATGATGATATGAACGAACGTAACTATGATATTGTATGATGAGATGAACTGGAATATGAATGAATATTGAATAAGAACCCTCCATATTATCATGTGCGTTCGTTGCAAAATGGTCCTTGACCGTTCGGCCTTCTTGATAAATTAGCAGAATAGGATTCATTCATTTGGAATGATCCCTGGTCGAGGACGAGCGTCCTCATATTCCACTGCCTTGTTGAGCGTTCGGCCAAGCTTTGTTGTATTTGCTATATTTGAAATAGTCTATTTCCGTTCGTAAAGATCTATTATTTAAAGTTATTAACGTTCGGTCTCACACCTAACGTTCGTACCAACTAGCGCTCGTCCAAATGATGCTCTGTTTGAAATGAGCGTTCGTACTTTGTGTGCTCGGTTATAATGGGAGCGTTCGTCCAAATTACAGTTCGGTCTTACACTGAACGTTCGTTCAAATTTGGGGTTCGGTCTTACACCGAACGTTCGTTCAAAATTTGTGTTCGGTCTCATACCGAACGTTCGTCCAAATTGCTGTTCAGTCTTATACTGAACGCTCGTTCAAATTGGTGCTCGGTCTAACTCTGAGCGTTCGTTATGATGGTGCTCGGTTTGAACTGAGCGTTCGTCCCAAAATGGGGCTCGACATTATTTTGAGCGCTCGTACTATTTTCCACAGCGTTCGTCCAATGAACAGTACCAGATTTGTACATTTCTGAATTTAAACCGTTCGTTGTTTGATTCGAACGAGCGTCCCTTTGGGTCTCATTTTACAGCGTTCGTCCTCGGTCTTTGAGGACAGAACGTTCGGTCTTGGTGGTTTCTTATGAATGGTGAAAATGATTATGTAATAATGATTATTACTTGGTGAACAGTAAATGACGAATGATGAAGAGTATATGAGATGAAATGAAAATATGAATACATGATGAAAAATGAATGATGAAGAGTATATGAGATGAATGGAAAGTTATGATTTTTGAAAGAGCGTTCCGGGGAGGAACGACTCAGAATTTGATTATCGAGATTTGTAAAGTATGACTGTGGGAAGTTAATGCTGGCTGTTCGATCCTGATGTTACGTGAGTGCTAGTCCTCAAGTAGAGGGCGCACGTCATGCGTGGGAACGGCAGGAGGTCGTCGTCCTTAGAGGTACTTTGGACGGACGTACTAACCTCGGGTGGCAGCTGATGAGGATGCCAGTTACCACACCACCCGGGTGCGTGAACGCCTGTAACTACGCAGATTTCATACAGTCCGGACAGTCAGTCGTGTTGAGTTTTATTTAGTGTGTGCGTTACAGTGGGTTGTTATGTAATGAATATGTATGTTGAGTTATGCATGTATGTTGAATTGTTTACCTGAAATTGCATGTTGATGCATGAGTTGAATTACGTAAGCTTACCCTTTCGTTTTCCTTGTGTTGTCCATTGTAATTGTACGTCCGTCATGTCATTGCAATGATCATCCGTGTGGATGTGAGCAGAGGGAGATGAGCGTTTGGAAGATGCGTTGAATGAAGAGAACCTGGTTGATGTCGAAGTGAAGATCGAGCAGTAAGACCGCTCGGCCTGTATTGTATTTAGTTGAATTGAGTGGTCGTTCGACCATCTTTTGTTTTCGTTTAAGTTTATTTCGACCGTTCGGTATTTGTCTTGTGTAAACCGTTCGGTCAGGTTTCTTGTACTTTGGCTTTAATTTGTAAACTCTTATGTGTGACGTGCGACCTTTGCACATTCTTCCGTTATGTTGGATTTGTACTCAAGGTCGTTCGTCCTTGAGTGCTCGTTGATTTCGCATTTCTTTAACTTTTAGTGTAAAACTGTTTGAGATTATTATTAAATGTGATTTTCTAAATTTATAGTTATAACTGTATTTTTGGGATGTCACACTAGGTAAGAGGAGAAAGATTTTCTAAAAAAAAAAAAAAAGACTTACCAGAGAAAGAGGATTTACTTTACTGAAAAAAAACGGGGGGGAGGATCATCCATTTCCTGGAGAACAAACCTCACGGAGAAAATGAGAAGAAAAAGGAAATTTAATCCAAGAAGAAAGGGGGAGAATCATCCATTTTCTGGAAGAAAAGAACTTTTACGAAAAAAGAAAAGGGAAGTAGAGGGGAGGATCAATTTCTGAAAACCAGAGACATCATTCAGGAAAGAGAAGGGGAACAAAGGGAGAAGCATCTTGAAACTCTAAGGTAAGTTTTCATATCTCTAAACCTTTTAGTCATGCTTGTTTATATATTCTATATATGTTTCCCTTGTGCGTACTGGAAGACGAATGAGTGTGTTTAAATTACTTAGCTTACCCTTTCGTTTTCCTTGTGTTGTCGCCTTGTATAATGTACGTTGTCCCTGTCCTTGCAATGATCATCCGTGTGGATGTGAGTAGATGAGGTGCGTCACTTGAAGAAGTGCTAGAAGAAGAAAATTTGGAAGACGCTAACCTGGTGGATGTGGAAGTTAAAGCCGAGCCTTAGAGCGCTCGCATGTGTATTTAGTTTTGTTAAGTTTAATTGTGGACGTTCGGTCATAGTTTTGTAAGACCGTTCGTCTCTAAACTTCTGTATTTTATCGCGCTCATTATTTCTGTATGTTTATGCCGTTCGGTTTTTTTTTTTGGCGCTCATTCAGATTTGTAATACTGCACTGTTTTATTAGCTTAATATAATTAATTCTGATTATGGTAATTACTATATTTTGGGATGTTACAGACATCATTCAGGAAAGAGAAGGGGACTGTAAGGACCTAGTATAATTTTATTTATTTATTTTTAGTTTAATATTATTCTAGAAGGGGTAGGGGAAGTAATTAGGAGGTAATTAGGAAGTCACGGACGTTTGGTTTTATTTGGAAGTGGGGAGCAAAGAAGTCGTGACTCCCTCTCACATGTTTCTGGCACCATTCAAGCGTGGGAAATAAAAAGGGGTTGAGGGGGTTTGCACTGGGAGATTTTTTGCTGCTGCATTTGGTGAAAAAGTTGAAGTCCAAAGTTGCTGGGAAAGAAGAAGTGAAGAACTTTGGAATTGAAAGGAGATCCAGACACTTGATTTCTAGGTTCAAGATTCACAAAGGAAGTCTTCAAGAGGTAAGCAGTGCTAGATTTTTTCGTTTTGATCAGTTAATCTTACTGTTTTTGTAGAAATCTAAAAGCTTTAGAGTTAAAAATGGAGGTTTTTTCTGGTTTCTGAAAACCTGTGATTCGCCAGAATCTGCGAATCGCGTTCTCCAATTTGGTTTCAAATTGGACGTTCGTCCAACGAGACGACTGAACGTTCGTCCACGTTAATTTGAACGCTCGCTTTTCTCGAGCCTGGACGAGCGTTCGCTCATGCGTTCGTCCTGCAACGTTCGTTCTTAAATATTCTGAACGTTTCGTCCTAACAGTACATGACCAAATATAGGGATTTCTGAGCGTTCGTTCATATAGTGGATTAACGGCGTTGGTGATAAGGATTTTGAGAAGAGAGCGTCTGTGTGCGCCTGTGAACGTTCGTTCATTTCCGGGTAAGGGAAGCTTACTTAATTTAACTGTTTTGATGGCATGCTGTGTGTGAACGTTCGTTATTTTACTGTATGGAAATAATGCATGATGGAATGAATGGTATGAACGTTCGTTATTGGACTCTATGATTGTGCGTGATTGATTTATGTGACGACCGTTATTTATTGAATGGAAATGAAACGGATTAAGCTACTTATGATGTATGAGATATTGGATGAAATGAGATATATGAATGAGATGTTTTTGGTGTGAATGAATGAAACTATGAAGTCTGTGATGAGAAATAAACTGGAACTGAAAAATGAACTCCCCATGAATTTGTACGTTCGTACTAAACGGTCATTGACCGTTCGGTTTTCCTTAGTTTGAGGACGAGCGTCCTCACTCTAAAAGGTTCTATTTGAGCGTTCGGTCAAACACTGTTGAAGCTAACATTTTCATAAACTTCTATCTCTTTGAAATTGTATGTGTATATGCAACTGTGTATTTTTCCCGTTCGTAAATACTCTTAAAAGTATCTTAATTTATTTTTCAAGCTACCAATCTGAGTTATTAAACGTTCGGTCTCATACCGTACGTTCGTCCAAATTGGTGTTCGGTCTTATACCGAACGCGCGTTCTAAATGACGTTCAGTCTTATATGAACGCTCGTTCTGTTTGGTGTTCGTTCAGAACGAGCGCTCGCTCAAATTGGTACTTACACTGAGCATTCGTCCAACATGACGCTCGCTTTTGATGTTGGACGTTTCGTTCCAGAATCTGTCGTTTTTTGAAATGAGCGGTCGTTCTATTTGGTGCTCGCTTTTGAAATGAGCGAGTCGTCCTAATGAGGCTCGTTCTTATAACGAGCGCTCGTCTCCCAAGTGAGGCTCGACCTTATGTTGAGCTTCGTCCCAAAATGGGGCTCGGCTTTTTTGAGCGCTCGTATCTATTTTCCACAGCGTTCGTCCAATGAACAGTACCAGATTGAAATTGAACTTAAACCGTTCGTTCTTTGATTCGAACGAGCGTCCCTTTTGGGTCTCATTTCACAGCGTTCGTCCTCGGATTATTGGGGACAGAACGTTCGTGTCTTGATGGTTTCTTAATGAATGATGAAAATGAATGATGAACAGTATATGAGATGAAATGAAAATACGAATACATGATGAAAATGAATATGACAGATTGAGATGGAAATGATTTGATCTAGAAAGAGCGTTCCAGGGAGGAAGACTCAACTTGATTATTGAGATTTTTAAAGTATGAATTGGTAAGCTTAGCCGTTGTTCATCCTGATATTCCGTAGTACTCCTTCCTCACGTAGAGGCATTACGTCATGTGTGGGAATGGCAAGGAGGTCTAGTCCTGATGATTATTTGGACAGATAGGATTACCTCGGTGGCAGCTGATGAGAGTTCCATTACTACATCACCCGGGTGCATCGAACACCGAAGCTACACACAGATTCTACAGTCCGGGACATCATCGTGTCGAGTTTTATTAGTGAGTACGTTTAAATGGTTGCTTTATTAATGAATGTGGTAAAAAATTGAGATTGCATGTAATGTTGAAATTTTTACCTGAAATTGTATGTTGATGCATAGTTAAATTACGTAAGCTTACCCCTTTCGTTTTCCTTGTGTTGTCCATTGACTTGTACGTCCTCATGGTCTTTGGCCATGATCATCCGTGTGGATGTGAGCAAGGAGATGAGCGTTTGGAATATCGTTTGATGAAAGAACCTGGTTGATGTCGAAGTGAGATCTGAGCATTGAGACCGCTCGGCCAGTAGTGTACTTTTGTTGAACTAAGTGGTCGTTCGACCATCTCTTGATATTCGTTAAGTTTTATTTCGACCGTTCGTATTTGTCTTTGTGTAAACCGTTCGGTCAGGTTTCCTGTACGGTTGGTTTTAAATTGTAACTCTGATGTGTGGCGTGCATCCTTTAGCACCTCGCCGTTATGTTGGATTGGTACTCAAAGACGTTCGTCCTTGAGCGATCGTTAATTTCCATTTCTTTAACTTTTAGTGTAAAACTGTTTGAGATTATTATTAATGGATTTTTCTAAATTTATATGTTATAACTGTATTTTTGGATGTCACATTAGTGGTATCAGAGCAGTTTTGTTCTTTTAAGGACATTGTAGGTTGTGAGTACCCATGCTTGTTTTGTTGTGTGCTCAACGTTCTTTATTGAGTATTTAGACTCCTTGAACTTAATTAATGATCGTTTTCTCTGTTTCTCAGAGAACAAATGGCACCTAGACTTTCTCCTCCTCCACCGCAGACCAATGAAAATGATGTGCCCAACAACACCAGATTGTTGGAATCAGTAATTGAAAGGTTACAAGAGCAGAACGCTGTTTTGACGCAGCAAAATGCGGCTGCCTTACAGAGTTTGGAGGCCGCTCGTGCAAATTCTGAAGTGACTCAGAGACAGCTTATGGAGATTCTTGCAGCTACCAGGGGTACACCGGGAGCATCTGCTTCAAACACTACTCATCAGACCGAGTGGAGTTTGGAGAACTTTTTACAGCATCGTCCAGCGAAGTTTGATGGAATGTCTCCTGACGGGGCAGATCAGTGGCTGCAGGATATGGAGCGTCTCTACGACGTCAAGGAATGTCCGAACGATCGAAGGCTGGCATTCACTGAGTATTTGTTGACTGGAGAGGCCAGTCATTGGTGGTCGAGTGCGAAGATGTACTGACAGACTCTCATAGCCCTATTTCCTGGGAAGTCTTCAAGGAAAAATTTTATGAAGAGTATTTCCGGATAGTGTTCGTTTTGGCAAAGAAGTGGAATTTTCTCCAGTTGGTACAAGGTAGTATGTCTGTTTTCTGAGTACGCCAACAAGTTTAAACACTGGTTCGTTTTAATACCATGGCGACCAGTGAAGTATGGCAATGCAGAAGTTTGAAAATGGGCTGAGAAGTGATCTGAAGGTACTGATATCCAGCCTTTGCATTAAGTCTTTTCCTGCCATGATTGAGAGAGCAAAAGTGTTAGAGAAAAATGTGGCTGAAGCAGAACGACTGAAGAAGCAGCAACAACCAACTAGAGGGCCGATCATGTCCAGGCCGAATCTGAATCGAACAGGATGCCGTATGCTCGTCCAGCACAACCATCTAATTCTCAGGCTATGGTTGTTGCGACAGTCTGGACAGCATGGATCAGTCAGATGTTTTAAGTGTGGAGGACCACACTAGCGATCGTCGTGTCCTCTGTTGGAGGGGGACAAAATACTGCACTCACTGTAGAAGAAACGGTCACCTGGAGCATGAGTGTAATATGGGCAGACGAGCAGTAATGAGGCCGCCAAATGCCGGGAGAATGCAACAGGATCGGGGTGGAAGAGCAAGCTGTTGGTCGAGTTTATGGCGATAACAGGCCCGAACTGCCAGTTCAGTACGCTCATCACCAGTACATGTTTATTGTTGGGAAGCCTTGCTGTGTGTTGTATGATTCGGGGGCGACACACTCCTTCATCTCGAAGGCGTGCGTCGAGAAATTGGGTATAACCGAACGCGAAATGCAGTTCGACTTGGTAGTGTCAACTCCAGCGGCTGGTGAGGTTAGGACGTCTACTGTATGTGTTAAATGTCCTATAGAGGTTGAAGGGCGTAATTACAAGGTGAATCTTTATCTGTCTACCCTTGAAACATCTAGAAGTATTTTAGGAATGGATTGGCTGGCTACCACCGCATTCTCATAGATTGTGGTGCAAAGGAATTGGGTTTCCGGACGAGTATGAAGTGGATTTATCTGTGACGCTCGGTCAACTGAAAGAAGACATCGGAGATGGTGCCAGTTGTTTTCTGATCATGACGCATTCAGACGAACGAAATTGAAGATTTGAATCATGAGCGACCGTCTAGTAAATCGAATGGAGGACGATCAGTCGTGGATGAATTCCCTGATGTATTTCCTGATGAAGTGCCTGGATTACCTCCTCCACGCGAGGTGGAATTTACTATCGACTTAGTGTCGAATGCTGGACCTATCTCTATTGCACCTTATCGGATGTCGCCAGCAGAGTTAGCTGAACTCAAGGAACAGATTGAAGAGTTAATGGATAAACAGTTTATCAGACCTAGCGCATCACCTTGGGGAGCGCCGGTACTCTTAGTGAAAGAAGGATGTAGACTCTCGTCTCTGCATTGATTATAGGCAGTTAAACAAACTGAATCAAGAACAAGTACCCTTTGCCTCGGATAGACGACCTGCTAGATCAATTACATGGCGCGGTCATATTTTCAAAGATTGATTTACGTCGGGATATCATCAGATTCGGGTGAAGGAAGAAGAATCCAGAAGACAGCCTTCCGATCTCGTTATGGACACTACGAGTATGTAGTGATGCCATTTGGTGTCACAAACGCCCCAGCATATTTATGGACTACATGAATCGTATCTTCAGACCGTATCTAGACAAGTTTCGGTCGTCTTCATTGATGAATTCTTGTCTATCCAAGAGCTATGAAGAGCATAAGACCACTTGAGGGTTGTTCTAGGCATCTTAAGAGAAAAGGAGTTGTACCCAGTTCTCTAAATGTGAATTGGATGAATGGAAGTGCCATTCTTGGGACATGTGGTTTCAGCCTGAAGGAATCTCAGTGGATCCGGCTAAGTACGAGCAGTGTTGGAATGGGAGAGTCCACGTTCGGTAACTGAAGTTCGCAGCTTTGTGGGACTTGCAGGCTACTACAGACGGTTTCATTGAAGGATTTTCCAAGATAGGCTCCGCTGACTCAGTTGACTAGAAAGGATCAACCGTTCGCTTGGACCGATCGGTGTGAAGCAAGTTTCCAAGCATTGAAGGAGAAGTTAACGAGCGCCCCAGTATTAATCATTCCTGACACGTCCAAACCGTTCGTGGTATATTGTGACGCGTCTCATCAGGGTTTGGGTTGTGTACTCATGCAAGAAAAGAGGGTGGTTGCGTATGCATCTCGACAACTGAAGGTTCATGAGAAGAACCCCAACTCACGACCTGGAATTAGCAGCAGTCGTCTTTGCCTTGAAAATCTGGAGACATTACTTGTATGGATCGACATTTCAAGTATTTAGTGATCACAAGAGTCTCAAATACCTGTTTGATCAGAAGGAGCTGAATATGAGACAGAGACTTGGTTGGAGTTTCTTGAAGGATTACGACTTTGAACTACTATACCATCCGGGAAAAGCAAATGTTGTAGCAGACGCTTTAAGTAGAAAGGTGGTTCACTCTCCTCTATGATGGTCCGAGAGTTTAAGTTTGGTAGAGAGCTTTAGAGATCTAAGGTTACGTTCGACTTGGACCGAATGTTATTAAATGTTGTACTCTTAGAATCTCCAGTGACGTATTTGACCGGATCAGAATGAGCAGCGAGAAGACGAAGAGTTGGTGAAGATCTTGAACGCACTCGGTACAGATCAGGCCAAGGAGTTCAACACGGGAACAGACGGTTGTCTACGATACATGGGTAGGACGTGCATTCCGAATGATGGCGAGTTGAAAAGAATCATTCTTGAGGAAGGACACCACAGTCGTCTTAGCATACACCCTGGTATGACTAAGATGTATCAAGACCTCAGGAAATCTTTCTGGTGGCCGGGAATGAAGAGTGATGTACGCACGTTTTGTGGCGTCGTGTTAACGTGTCAACGAGCCAGGCTGAACATCAGAGGCCAGGCGGTCTACTTCAGCAGTTAGAGATTCCGGAATGGAAGTGGGACAGCATTGCGATGGATTTCGTGACTCACTTACCTCGTACGTCAGGAATCATGATTTCCGTATGGGTAATTGTGGATCGACTGACGAAGAGTGCTCATTCCTGCAGTCAATCTAAAGATGTCAATGACGACCTGGCTAAGCTTTATATCCAAGAAATTGTTCGCCTGCATGGAGTTCCATCCAGCATTGTTTTCAGACCGAGACACAGGTTTACCTCTCGATTTTGGCAGTCGTTACAAAGCGAGCTCGGTAGCAAACTCCATATGAGTTCGGCTTATCACCTCAGACAGACGGTCAGTCCGAGAGAACCATCCAGACGCTTGAAGACTTACTGAGGACGTGTGTCCTGGATCATATGGGCGTCTGGGATGAAGTCTTGCCTTTAGTGGAGTTCACCTACACACAGTTTCCAAGCCAGCATAGGAATGGCTCCCTTTGAGCTCTGTATGGGGAAAGTGTCGAACGCCATTGTGTTTGGTTCAAGAAGGAGAAAGGTCTTAACTGGACCAGAGCTCATTCAGCAGACGACTGAGAAGGTGAAATTGATCCAAGAAAGGCTGAAGGCATCTCGGAGCAGACAGAAGTCTACGCTGACAAAAGAAGAAGGCCATTGGAGTTCGATGCTGGAGATCACGTTTTCCTTAGACTGCATCCGACACTGGAGTTGGGAGAGCTATTCGACCCAAAAAGTTTTGTCTCCCAAGTTCATCGGACCCTATCAGAATCTTTGAGGAAGATCGGACCAGTCGCAACGAGTTATCCTTGCCGCCTCAGTTATCAAATTTGCATCCAGTCTTTCACGTTTCTCAACTCCGAATACGTATCCGACCCTTCACACGTGTTGGAGTTAGAAGATATTCGTCTTCGTCAAGACCGTACATTAGAAATGCAGCCAGTACGCATTGAAGATAGCAAACACCAAGTACTACAAGAGGAAAGCAGCAGATTGGTG